ACAAGACAACGTATTCTATTCGAACTCACGTGAATGCCGAGGTCATAGGAGCCATCCTTCTCTCCTTTGAACTGCAGTCTATCCATCATCGATGAGAACAGATCCGACTGAGCCCTCAAGAGGTTACTACTGCCCACCAGACACAGACCGAATACCTATCACATCAGAGCATCCTTGCTAGGCTTTAAGTTCACTATCTTCTACTTACAAACCAGTGACAAAGTACAGCCGCAAGTATCATCATCATGTGCGATGCACTGTCCCTAACCCTATAACTATATGCCAACAAAGTGACATCAGCGCCTGAATGAGAAAAGGCTCACTCGAACGAGGCCGACTAAAGCAACTTACCAATCAAATAGAGCGCAACAGCGAGAAAGCTGACACTTGGGAAGAGTCTCGAACTCATACAAGTGAAAAGAAGGACCAAAGGGATGGGCATTGCTCGTGCCGCGGTAAATGTCGAATGACCATCGAGGAGGCAGATGAACTCGCAAACCACCGTTAGTAGAATCGATGTGGCCACTATAGTATGTGTATGCTTCACGGCTGGGTTGAGGAGTAGGGCGATGCCTCCGAGGAGGAGCATCAACTGAAGGGGAGGATGGTGGGAAGGGAGGGGAGGAGGAGGAGGACTTACTGGGCCAAATATGAAGTAGAAATACCCCACCCAGGTATCGAACGGGGATGCCAACATGAGCGCCGATTCCTCATCTTGCTGTATTGCGGCTTTGGTGAGGAAGTAAGTCGAAAGATGTTCAACAGTGTGGACGATGAAACCAACGAAAAGGAGGTAAACCCAATAACGGAAATTCCAATTGTTGAATGCATTCCAAAACTGCATTGTGAAGTTGCCTAAATGAAGGGAGGACGACATCACGCTGATGAGCACTAAATGATGGGAGTACTACTCACCAAGGAAGAGATACTCCCCGGCATTGACGTCTTTAGTTTCGCTATCAGCATCCTCATAAGCTCTACTTATCCTCGACATCTCCGCTGCCGATAGACGACCAGCAGCTGACGCTACCCTCCGCAGGTCGGGCGGTTTACCTTATACCAAAATAATCATGAGCACCCACAATTCACAACGCATTCTTGCTACATGAATCTGAACCGGCACGCGAAGCACAGTTGGACTCTTCAGCCTCGGGTTGTAATCCACCCAGGGTAGTCCCAGGTGGCGGCTGAGCTAAACAAGAGCGGATCATAGAAAGGGAATAAGAGGATCCTGTCGAACAAGTATTATGATAATACTCAACGCAAGGATTGGCAGTAGTCGAAAGCCAGAGCTTGACGACTTTCAATGAGGGCGGAGAGCAACCGGTGGTTCGCTGGCACCCTATGGATAAAGTATGGCTATTGGGTGGTTGTTGAAGCGAAAAAAAACAAAGAAATCCAGTCACAGTACGTACAGCAATTGATCTTTACGTGATTAGAACTACACTTGAGCTAATTGTAGTCAATTAGTGCAGCCGACTGACCTGAGCTTGGTATACCCCCTCGTAGTGTAGGGCAATGCCACCTAAGTGTCAACAATCAACAACAACAACAACAACAACAACAACAACAACAACAACAACAACAACAATCAACAACAATCAACAATCAACAACAACAACAACAACAATAACAATCAACAACAACAATAACAACAATAACAACAATAACAACA